TAAGGCTGAGGACTTTTATGTGGAACACGTAACGTAATTTTTTACAGGATATATATATGTCGTATTTAGTCGTAGATAAAAATGTTAATTTGATACTAATAATAATTCACTTAGGTACGTTTCTACACTTCTTTAATTAATTACTTTCACATCGATATGCGGTAGTTTTTGGAAGTAGTACAGTCCGTATTGTTTTATTTTGCCTTGGAAATGCCATGAATGCACAATACATATTTGTTTATTCTATTTATGTTATGCTTTTAGCACTGCAATATAATATTTTCCCAACCACAGACTATAGTAACTATAATCAAACACGGTTGTTATCTGGTAGCCTAAATAGTGCGGCGTTCCTGATTTTGCATGCCCGTCACATTAAAAGTATTTATTTTGCGAAACTTATATGTAATATTAATTAAGTGAATTCCTAAAAATGTTTATTACTATGGAATTAAAAAAAAAATTTTTCTTGAAATTATTCTTGATATTTGCATATTTAATTACAGTAATACTACTACTACTACTTGCTATGTTTACATGCTAAAGTATCATTTTTAACATGCATATAAATGTGAAATATTAAAACCGTATACAGGGTGCGTTAGAAATAAGTGGCAACAATGTAATATTTTTTATATAATAAACAAAATGCTTTTCATAAGATTCCAGCAACAATAAATTTCGAACAAATTACATTTTCGTTATAAAAAAGATGTCACCCCTGTGTTCGTGGAAATTGAAGTATTTTTGAGCATTTACTCAATCATTAAATATATTATTAATTTCTTTAATCGAATAATTAGTGTTCGTTATGTCATTTAAGTAAAAGTGTTTTCAGTTCGTTTTCTAAGTTTTACTCGAAAATCAGGATTTTTTTAAAGACAAATCCGAAAACGCCATTATTGTTGCGGTAAGCATTGGCGTACTATTTTATTTAGAAAAATATGCCACCGATACCCTGTCTCTCCGCCACTGGAGCATCTAAATTTTAGGAGAAGGCTTCAGATTTGTGTATGTGCCCTATTTCAAATTATTTCACTTACCTACTAGTTTTTATATCATTTAAAAAAATTAAGAACATTTTTTAAGTTTAACACCCTGTATCTTTTTATCAAGGCGCCCTAGATAAAAACTTTATATGAAAGACTCCCTTAAAATTCACCAAATACGGGGTTTCATTTTTGGTTTTGTGAATCACCCTATACTAAATGATAAAAAAATTAATTTTTTAACCTTGAGACATTGAAATATACATTAGTCCTTATAATTTGTTTTTGCTAAAAATTATTAAAAGTAAATTTTCTTCTTGGAGAATTGAAAGTGGCAATTTACTCGATGAAATTAGTAGATACACAATTTCTTGTCACCGGATTGCAAAATTTTTTTTATTTCTAGCTTAAATAACTGAATTTATCTATTATGTTCGTTCCAGTTTCCAAAATGTAGATATATGCCAATATGTTGTATATTTTTACCAAAATGCAAATATTCCTAGGAGGTTTATCCACCAGTCCAGTATATTGAAATACGAAATAAATAATAAGAAATGTCTTACACACCTGGCATCATAATACTCGAAAAAAAAAACAATATTGACTTTTATGCCGGTTTCCATTCCGTACAGATGTCTCTATATTACAATGTCGAGGTGCCTTCCCAGGACACGAAGTTCGGCCAGCATATTCAGTAATAAATCAATTTGCCAGGTGAGAATAAGAAGCTTGAAGTTCCCGTTAGTGTAGTGGAGTCAAATTGGGTTTAATAAAAAAAACATTAAATATCACTGAAATGTTACGAGATTGACCCATTTGATTTGTTTACAAAAAAAGGTGTTAAATACAAAGATGTATTAATACACACTGTCGTTTATTTGAAATAATGAAGCTAAGTAATGCAAAGAACAAATACAGCATCCTGTATAATCGAAAATAATCTTAAAATATAGAGAAATTTGTTTCTGACGCTTTTTGATATTTATTAAATTCCTGGGATATAGAATGCTGAATATTCTATAAATTTTATTATAAAAAAGATTTTATTCGTAAGAACTAATTACGAGTATAAAGAATATGAACTGAAGAAGACGGTGTAGTAATTTTTTCAATTAATTTTTATACAATTTATAATATATAATATTCGAATTTTTTATCAACAAAATAAAAGATATGTTAAAGCTTACATTCATTGGTTCATACAATTTATGTGATATTCCATTTAAAAATACTCAAGTAATTGAAAAATTATTTCGGTGAAGTATTTTAGCGTATGATTTAAAATTTGACGATTTCAAATAGTGACTTTTAGATGAAATCAACACACTATAAACATATCAACACATAATTTGTTAACGAAATATGTATAATATGTAGATTATTGACCTTATTCCACAATTTCAGATTCTGCTGAATATAAGTTTTTCCAAACTGGTATGTTTAGTTACGTTATAATTTTATCAGTCAGTGGTTATACCCGAAATAAGTGTTTTCCATCATGTTTTAAAACGATAAAGCGAAAGGTTTTTCCTCCGGGTTATCGTATTGGATCATTTTGACGTAACGGATGAGTATTAGGTATATTTGTGCCTAAATTCTTACTAATCAAATAATAATTATTATTTAAGGTGGCCATATCCCTAGCCGAGAAATAGTCAAATTTCTGGCTTTTTTAGGTACTGAAATCTTGAAAAGCAAAACGTGTAGAACAAAAGTAAGCACAAAAATAAAAACCTTGGTGTTCTGTTTATTCATTGTTACTATTTAAATTTACTCAAATAAAATAATAACTAAAAAAAGCGTTTGTAAAACATGCGTTTGCTGTTATCCTAACTACCACATTTTAAGAATTATTTTCACGTACTTATAAATAAAAATAAACAATTTCATATGTAGATCTAAGCAAGTACATGTTATAAGAATATTTACATGTGGAATTGTATATAAAAAAAGTTAGTATTTTCGTATATTTCAGTACCTAAAATCTTGATGGTTTGATCGTTTTTTGCACCTGTTTATTCGTTTTACTGCTGCGTCTTTGAAAACACCCAGATGGCATGACTGACATTCCTATTATTTGATAAGCTTTAGACTATTCAGTTATTAAATGTTTGAAATTATTTGTCTTTGTGGAAAACACTATTTAAAGAATATGGCGCCCTTAAAGTACAAGATTTGTCAAAATTAAAAGTAAAAAAATGGGTTATTTTATCGATAAACAAAAGAAATTTGAAATAAAACTTAAATTACAGGGACCGTTGAAGATAAAAACCGTCTTGAAAAAAAACTATACCTTTCTAAACGAGGTATGAAATTATGTTGGTGCAATTAAGTAGATATACAGGGTTAGTCAAAAGTATGGAAACCCCCAAAAATCTCAGCGGGAAAACGTTTTTGGGATAAATGGTAAGGACAAAAGTATCAGTATTCTTCTGAAGTCCAATAGTAACTTTAACTTTGAGATCAAGGTTCAAGGTCATATTAAGATCAAGTCGGTTTTTTAAATGACGACCCTCCTTTTTGACCCCGGAAATGGAAAGAGCAGAAAATTCTGCATCCGAATATGACATTGATTGTGACCTCAAGGTCAATGGCCAAGAAGGTCAAATGATCATATTTACTATAATTTTTTATTTTTAACTACGGAATCAGAGAAAGTGACTTTCTTTGTCTTTGAGTAGATACTCCTTAGTGACCTTGATTTTGCAGTCACTAAGCAATTGTGAGTCCCTTCTCGTCGAAAATAATAAATGACAGCCGGAATAATTACTTGACCTCTACCTGACTTTGACCATTGACCTTAAGGTCACGATTAAGTAGATAACATGTAGAATTCTACGCTCTCTTATTTCTAGCGTTGAAATAAGGGGTCGCTACTCCAAAAACGAATATGACCTTGACCTCTTTAGACCTTGATCTCAAGATGAAGGTCATTTTGAACATATCTCTAATTGCTTCCGTATTTATTCTACTGCTATTCAAAACAAGAAATATTTTTGAGTGAAATGTATTAAAGAATATACAGGATGTTTCCAAAGTAATCTAAAATATTTCAGGCGATGATCCTTCAAACCATTTTATGAAAGTTATATTATCATTATCATATGTCCAAAAATCAGGCGTGCGTAAAGGCAATTATTTTAGGAAATACTTTGCATGACGTTTTTGTTTAATTTGTTTGATTGCACATTATTTTATTATTTTCCAATAAAATTGTATTTTTCTTCAGAACTAACCACCAAATGACAAAAATGCTAGCAGACATGAATAACTAAAAATTTGTTTTTTTTTCTGTGTTACATTTATAAGTTATTATGAAATTTATACATACCTTAAAAATCCTCCAGTTTATAAATTTTAAAACTCTTAGCATTTACATATGTATTTAAAACTATTGTAATATTCAGCAAATAATAGGTACTTATTTGTTTTTCTATTTCATAATTAGAATAATTAGAAAAACAATTGATTGTTGTATTTCGGAGTTACAAACCAAACTTATTCATTTTTTGGCAAAAACCCTGTATATATTTTTAAATTGAATAGACCGCTTTCTTTATATTACAGAAATATAAGGTTTGATAAGTATATCTTCAATGTGAGAAATGTGAAAGAGTTCAAAAAGTTGGCATACACTATTGGCAACATCTCCATTATTATTAGAGATAGACCTATCAGATCTTATACCAGTGAAAAGTTAAGAAAGCAAACTATCCTAATATGTAAAAATATACAGAGCGTTGTATCAAAAGGTACAAAGATTATGTTAATGGCTGTGTCAAGGTAACAAAATTAACAGTAATAAAATTGTCATAATATTTAAGTGGTATATTTTAATAAATATAAAGTAAAAAAACACTATAAAACAGTCAAAGAAAAATTTGTATAAAAAAAGGCAAGTGCTTCATACTGAAAATAAATTTTTCAGAATATACTATTACTGTAAAAGTAAAAAACAAATAAATAAAAAAATTTCTTAAATAACAAACTAATACTTAATTTAAAAACAGCCTTTTACATAACGCTTGTTATCTCCAGTGCAGTGATTGCGATAGGCTACCCAGGCGTTGAAACCGTTTCCAGACAACCTTTGATGTTCCTGGTAGATAGTTTTGGCACAGGCGATGTCATCACCCAAGTAATCATTCCTGAAGTCAGCACAGGTCTTCTTGCACGCCTTTCCTGGACCTCCGCGTGCAGTGCACCAGTAAATCTCGCTTATCTGGAGGATACCATGGTCACCGGTAGAGTGATTGATTTGAGAAGTGTCGAAATCTGACTCGTGCTGGGCGATGCAGGTCCAGGTGGGAATTTGCGACTTCGGGATACCGTACTTCAGGAGCTGACGAGCGAATTCACACCTGCCGTACACCTTTGCTTCGGACAAGCGGAAGCCAACTGCGATAATGACAAGTAGAGTTGCGTAACCGACCATCTTGATTCTTCGTTTAAGTGGTTGCAACTGACAGTCGTGGAGCCTTGGCTCTTTTTATATTACTGCGTTTAAGCTGATACGGTTTTGGATATTCTTAATGGCGTTGCAGGAAAAGCCCACGTTGTACGTGGTTGATGACACTTGCTACACTAATTGGATGTACTAAAAGCTGTGTCTGTTATTGTCGCAGATTCTTAGGAACGATTTGTTATGTTCCTCTATTTTTTTTTTAAATAATTTATTAATATTTAATTAGATATAGGGACAAAAAAATAATGTAGGATTGACAATACCAAACAAATAAAAAAAATTTAATTTTATTTCTTTATTTATTTAGTATAGGTACTTTTTATTTTTCAAAATGGTCAGTGATTTATGTTTCTATACTTACCTATTATCTCTAGTATGCTCATAGTATCAGTTCAACAACTTTGATAAAAAAATCTGTGTAAGGGAATGGATGTAAAAAAATATGTTAAAGCCAATTTTTCCATTTAACAATAAGTTGTGTTATCTGGAGAGTTTAATTAAAATTCTCCAAATTGTTCGAATATTGAAGCACAGGCACAAGCACAATATCTACAGGGTGTTAATATTGTACTCCGCCGAACTTTAATGATGGATTCTATCTCATAAATCTATTAAAAAGTTATAGACGCGAGTATGGAAATGCTTCGTATTCGAGATATAGGGGGTTGAAATTTAAAAACAATGTGACGTTTATTTAAATAACTCTTAGTAAGCTTGACGTAGGCAGATGAAATTTGGGCTTAATTCAATATCGTACACACATCTGCCAAGCAGTGGCGCAGATATTGAGAAATAACTTCACTATGAACCCTAGAAAATCGACGCCACTGTATATTTTGGGAATTAGATATGTTTACTTCCAGCTGATATTTGTAAGACATTTTACTCGAAAAACTAGTCATTTTTGAGTTATTTTTTAAATGTTAGATATAGTTGAATATATCGAAAATAACTTCGTTTCACAAAAAAATAATGAGAAAGTTTTGTCAGACATACAATTTTAATTATAATAATTATTCTAAAAATATCGATGAAGGGGTTTAATATTAAAAAAATGGAAATTCCGACACCTACAGTTTTTTGACTTGTCATAAATACATTGCATTTTAAATCATATATAACACAAATATTCCTTTTTTTGTGAATAATAAGTTATTTTCGACTTATTCAACTACGTATAAGGCTTATTTTATATTCAAAACTGTAAATGACTTAGAAATGGCTCGTTTTCCGAAGTGAAAAATTTATTTTTACTTAACCACAATTAAAGACAGTTCTAGAGTTCTTAGTGACATTTTCCAGTACCTCCAACAATGAGTGACAGTGTTCCAACTTAGTAAACTTTTACCCTTAATTAAATAGGTCATAAGGTCAAGCTTCACCAACCTACTTCAAGCAAAGTAAGAGATAACTATACATGATTTTTTTTCCATTCCAACACTTTATATCACGAAAATGAAGCGTTTCCGGAAATAGGTTTATAATAATTTTGATTTATTATGTAGAATTGATCATTAAATTTCGGCGGATTATTTGAGTAACACCTTCTAGAAATTAAAAAAAAAAGTTGTCAATACCTTTATTGTCATCTATTTTTTTTTAATTATTGAAATGGATATAACTTCTTAGTTGCCAAGTAAAATATATCGCAAAAACTATGGACCCATCTACATTGCGAAGGAATGACATTTTGTATAGTTATAGAAGTCGAGAAACGACGAAGATACAGACTAAATAACCACATGTCAGGGGTAGCTTTCTTTGATGAAAATAAATAGATTTGGATCAATTCACCGAAATCAAATTTTCATTCCCAAAAAAATTAAGGCCTTCAAATTTTTCTTCTTCAATTTCTTCAAGCCTGCTGTCGCCTGGTTTGATGATACACTTAAAGACATGAGGCGGTTAATTTCCATCGTTAAAATAATATATGATGTTACAAAAAATTGTTGCTATCAATGCAACAAAAAAAAAAAGAGCTTTTGAAAATTATATAAACACATCTAGTAAAAAACTAAAAACTAGTTGGAATATCGTCAACCAAGAGCGAAATAAGGTGCAGTCAGTAAGTTTGCCAACATTATCCGCGACTGAATTTAATGAATATTTTACAAATATAGCTAATACGTTAAGAGAATCTATTCCAGCTAGCAACTTATCAATTGAGAGGTTGTTTGCTCGAGTACCTTCTCCATCTAGTTCTTTTTTTATAAAACCTGTATCGGAAGATACAGTATTACAAGCAGTTAAATCTCTGAAGGATTCCCCATGCACTGACGTTTTTGAAATTAATTCGAAAATACTTAAGGAAACTATTGAATTAATACTCCCATTTTTAACTTCACTAATAAATGTTTGCTTCAACAGGGGTATTTTTCCCCAGTGCTTTAAGCTGACTAAGATTTTACCAATGTTCAAACAAGGAGATCCAAATCTTACAAATAATTATCGCCCAATCTCAATTATACCAATTTTTGGTAAGGTGATTGAAGCCATAATGAAGGCGAGATTATATACTTTCCTTGAAAACAATTCCGTTTTATGTGCGAGTCAATTTGGTTTTAGACCGAATCGGTCTACAACCAATGCAGTGCATGGGGTTGTGAAAGACGTTATCAGAGGACTTGAAAAGGGTGAACACACGGCTATTGCTTTATGCGACCTCACAAAAGCCTTCGACTGTGTCCCCCACGAATTATTATTGGCTAAGTTGGAGCATTACGGTGTGAGGGGTTTGCCACTAGTTTTTTTTAAGTCATACTTAATGGACAGGTCTCAGTGTGTCACAATTAACAATAATGTGTCCGAATTTAAAGTGAATAACCATGGTGTACCACAGGGATCCATTTTGGGACCAATCTTATTTTTGATCTTTATAAATGACATTCATTACTCTCTTTTACCTAATAAATGTATACTGTTTGCGGACGACACTACTTTGTTGGTGTCACACAGGGACTGTTCTCAGCTGAATGTTCTAATGAACCAATTAATTGAGCGGGCGGAGCAGTGGTTTTCGTTTAACAAACTTACAGTAAATATTGAAAAAACCCAAAGGCTTACTATATCTTCAAACAGAGCAAATGTAAAGGGTGATCAAGTAAAGCTGCTCGGTGTAGTTGTAGATGATGGTTTAAATTGGGCAGGGCATGTTGGATATCTTTTGAAGGCACTCCCAAGTACTATTTTTTTACTACGCCAATTGAAATCTGTGGTTAGACTTGAGACTTTGATTTCTTCGTATTTTGCATTTTTTCATTCTCGTCTGTGCTATGCGGTGTTTTTGTGGGGTAATTCTAGCCAGTCGATTTTTTCTTTACAA